TAGAAATCCATAAATTGCATTATTAATAAATTGATACGACAGAATCGATGATCTGCGGGAGTTCTTTTAATAAAAGCTTATTATAAATTTAAATTAAATACCATTTCCAATGTTTAGTCAGACAACAGCTGTTTTTGAAATACTAGTTAGGGATTTATACATATGTGTGTGTGTGTGTGTGTGTGTGTGTGTGTGTATATATATATCGAAGTTAGTTTCACTTGCCATTGTCACTTTTCTCTCGATATTTATTTCTACGGGCATCTCCCTTCCTTTTTATAATCATTCTCTCTCCTACTATGCCATACACTTGGTTCACGGTACAGGAATAGAGGAGAAAATACTTCCCTCGATTTAATTTTGAGCACGGATCATGGAATCGTTCATTATGCTAGAAGTGGAGGGCCCAATCGTGGAAGGAAGAATTTTTATTGTCGCCGAAAGTATTTGAATTATTTTATTATAGTTGTATTTATTATTTTTTATTGAGCCATTATTTGTGAATAGCGTTTATTTAATTTTAAAATATAATTATTGCTCCTATGTTAATGTGTATATGCAGGATACCTGGCATTGTAAATTGTAAAATAAAGAAATATTTTTACGTGCGAGAAAGAGGCTAGAAGAGGCTCGACGTTAAATGTCATCGATTAAATATGGAAATATGACGTGTGAAATATGAATTTTTCACTTGCATATAGTAAAATTATTAAAGCAGACATAATGCTAAAATAAAACAATGTAATTGTAAAAACATTATAATTACAATAACATGCTTATTTTTATTAGAAAAACATCGGAGATATAAATTTTTATATTCTTAATCATAGCGATAAAAATGTTATCTTGGCACTGTAAATAAGCAGCTATAAATATTTTTTATAGTTACTTTTTTTTTTACGATCGCACATTACCTTATACCTTGCCCATTGTTGGGAGTATCGGAAATTTCTCTAACTTCAACTACATAGGAATCCAAGGGGAGCCTTAAAGTCTTATCTTTATTGGCATTTTTAGAACGACATTTTTTTATAATAATGTTCGATTATTATCCAAATTCGTAATAAATAATGCCCGGTTGGTTGGCTTCGCTTTAATGCTCAGTTACATCGAATAATTGAACGATCATATAAAAATGTTTCATAAAAGTTGAGGAGATTTTATATCTCGGAATAAACGATAAAAGTAGTTTGAGCAAATCTGTCAAAGCAGCGGATTTTTAATTTTTCCTTAATTACTGTTTCCCGGCTCTCCC